ATAAATGTTATAACTTTTATTTTACTTTTTTGAAGAATAGAAAACAAATATGTACAACCAACCAAATATCTGGAAATGTTATATAAGAATTCAGGAAACGAAATATTCGTATACGGACATGTATACTACAGCTATAGAAGTTTTTAGCTGAGGACTAGATAAAATAAGTAAATATTGAACAGAAGGAAAAGAATCCTTTTAGCTGGACTTTAGCGCTCCCACACCCGCTTTAGAGATAACACCTATCAAATGTTTTCTTATTATAGATTTTTTTTATAGATTCTTTCTTTTATAGATTCAATCTGTATTCAAGTGTATGTATTGTGTACTAAAGATTATATTTTCCTTCAAATTCACTGATGGTATTACAAAGAATGAATCAGGATTGTCTGTGCTTGAATTAGAGAGCACTAATTTTTAGTTTCATTATTTTTTAGATAGAAAAAGGAGACGATAACTTATAATACTTTGTATATTATTAATACTTTTCTTTCAGAATTATAGAATTATGTATTTATTTAAAAGTAGTAATACAAGTCTTTGAATTTTTTTTTTAGACTTCTTTTACTTTGAAAATCTACTCCAATATAAAGCTCCTTCCAAACTAATTGAATAGGGCATTATGTATTTTTTATTAGAAACACAATGTAATAAACTTTATTTACGATTATTTTTCTTCGAATAAGTTTATTACTTCCCTTAAAACTGTTTTCTTTAACGCTAAGTTAGTTATCAGATGCGTAACCCACGCAGGCTTTGGCAATTCATCACAGGTTATTACGTCTTTTAATACGCAATTCGTTGATCTTCTCAAAGTAAACTGTCTATCGTCACGTCATACAGATGTATATGAGTTACGGCCTCTTAAAAAAAAGAGGCTGTAAATTAAATTGTCTTAAATGACAAGTTATTTTTTTTACTTTTAAAGAAATCGATATATTTGTTATGTAGAAGGTATTTATTAATCTTATTTGTTTTAGAGTTTCTATATACGTCCGGACCACCAGACATTATATGGGTTTTTAAGATAGTCTAGCTAGAATTTGATTTTTTTAATATATAAATTAAATACTTTATTTTATATATAAGGAAAACTTTAACAATTAGTTTTAAAGTAAAATTAGATATAAGAATTGCCGACTGTGAACTGCCTCAACGTGTCGAAAAGTAAAGAGAGTATACTTGTTAAGAGCTACATCTTGGAACTGTTGGTTAAGAAGTTCAACAATGAAAAAAAGCTTGGATTCTTCTAACTACTAAGTAATGGAGACAAACACTCTCTAAAATTAAAGTAGCAATTTGATTCCTCAACATTGGTGGCAGCGGTGGGATACACACCTCCCCCCTTAATGAAAGATTTCATGAGGTGTAAGTGATATGAAATCTCGAAAATAATAAAAGTTTAACATAAGTTATTAGTATAAAATAACGTAGATGAAATAACTTAACTAATAAGTTTAACTAACTTATGCTCTATCTAATTATAATCTAAAATAATCAGGATAAATACAATAAACATGATATAAAGGATTTAAGTTTGATGTTAAAAATCATTATTGTAGATAACTAATGTTTACGTTAAAAGGTAAGACCACAGCAGTATATATCGCCAAAACATCCAGACAACGACAAAAAATACAATTTACCTTTGAACTAAAATGACAGACAACTGTCACTGTCAAGTAACCCTTACCCTGGATTATTTTAAACAAAAAAAAAATTCTGTAGGTTAGGCAAATTTATTCATGTAAGACGCCACATGTTTCTGTTTAAGTTTTAACCCAGTGGCAGCTAAAAGAGCACGTTATCTTAAAATACTTTACTTTTCTTCCAAATGTAGTTAAATGTTCTTTTTTTAAATAATGAACATCACAGATTTTTTTGAACATGAATAAAAATGTATTTATTAAAATTACAATGTATTTTTTTAGATATAATTTCTGGTTTGAGCAGTTACGAACGTCGAATCATGGATCACATCTATCTCAATCGAAGGACAAAAAAAAATTGTTTGTGGCAATCATTTAATAGACCTGTCAATCCCCAGCCTTTAATCTAAGATTCCAGCTTATCAAGGTTGCAGGAACCGACATTTAGACGCAGCTCGAGTAATCAGGTAAAATAAAAAAATCATGAAGTTTTTGTTCTTATATAACACGGAAATTGTATAGAAAGAATATTAGTTAGTAATAAATGTAATATTTTACACATATCGAATGAATATCTTATATTTATTATTAATCGATTTATTTATTTAACTATAATTAAGTTAACATAACTACTCGCTTATATTTATGAAAGTTATAAAAATTTACTACAATACATAAAGAGAAAAGCGTAACGGAAATCGTAGACGGCTTGTTATCGTTTTATTAAAGCCATAAAAATTTTATGGGGAGAATAAATGACTAAAAAGAAAGTTCATCAGACGAAACAACCCTAACTAGTATACTAATAATTACTCAAAAACAATATGATGTATAAACATCGATTTAAGTGTTTTATATCCCTATAATTCTTATATACTTAGATTTGGCTTCCTTTTCTAAACCACAGATGCACTCATTATTTTTCTAATAAGCGCAAGTATTTCGAGCTCAGGAACACGCCCAAAAGAATATTTTCGCGAAAAAAAAGTATTTTTTCAAAATTTTTATGATACAATGTATGCAACATAGGTAGTAGATGAAAATTAGAAGAACGAAAAAAACTGAAAAAATTCCGTGGTTCTCAAAATGTTGGCAACAAATATGTATTTCTCAAATTTGCAAAGTAAAATAACTTGGTTATTTTGGACTTATTTGAGAAACGGTAAAGAAAAATTATATTTCGTTTATCAAGATCTACCACCCCTGAAAATATTTACACGCTTATATAAAACCCTGTTAGAGAATAAGAAGAAAACGAGAGAAGAAGAAAACATTCTGTATATGTAATGTGTACTACCATCAGTCATGACCTATACATGCGAAACTTGGACACTTAGAACGGACATTATAAGGAAACTGTAGGTTGCACAACGCTCAAAGGAAGGAAATATGCTGGGAATAACCTAGAAAGACCGTAAAAGAATAGAGTGGATACGACAAAAGACCTAGGTAATAGATGTCATCAACAGAATTAAATCCCTCAAGTGGCAATGGGCAGGACAGCTGGCAAGAAAGACGGACAACAGATGGACCACAAAAATTACAGCATTGTACTCACGAGGAATTAAGAGACCTACAGAAAGGCCAAGATGTGATCATGATATTAACAAATTAGCAGGGATAACTTAGGCCCGCATAGCCAACAGTAGACAACAGTGGACCCAATTACAAAGGCAGTATCTAAATATGTAAGGGAAACTACACCATAATTGGAAATGCTCTGTACTAATTGGAAATGCTGTACTTTCCGCTCGCTCTCAGGGGTCGGGTAAAGCGGGTGTGTGGCCGAAGGAAATATATATTGGCTAGGTATTAATTTTTATTTGCTTGTGATGCAGTAAAAATGACGTTTTCTAGTTTTGTTTAGTTAATATTATTTTGTTGTGTTCAAAAAATGTGTTAATTTTTATTTTCTAGGAAATTTGTAGGTATATAAGTAATCTACGGGAACACGGTTTGATAACCAAGTCTATGATATTTATTGATAGAGAAATTCATGTAAACGTTTTATTCAAAAAATGTGTTTTTTTTAATTATTTTTCATTTTTAAGAAAACAAAGGCCCTAGGCCCCCCCTGGGTTCAACCCCAGGCCCCCCCAGGCCCTCCCCAGGATAGATTGCTAGTTACGCTAATGCCGCTCAACAATAATAAGCCTTTTGGTCGCCATACTACGTATTCTAAATCTATACTAATATATAAAATCCTTAAGTGACTGACATACTGATTAATCACGATCCTGCTCAAACCACTCAACGTAAGAAGCTCAATTTTTGCATACAGGTTGATTCTATGGTGTAGAAGTTCGATAAGAAGGGAATTTTCGAAATTCCAGTTCCAAGAGAGTGAAACCACCAGTCAAATATTACAATATTTTTTATTTAAAAAACGGTCATGTTTCAGAAAAAAACGCTTAAACATTTTTTTACATATTTTAAGATTTGTTAAAAATGTATACAGGGTGTTTCAAAAAATCTGGTCATTGGTTAATCACGATCCTGCTTAAAGCGCTTGACGTAAAAAGCTGATTTTTTGAAAACAGATTGACTTTAGGGTGTAGAGGTTCGATAAGAAGGGATTTTTTGAAGCTCGGATTCTAAGGGGGTGAAACTATCCCTCATATATATTAAAATATTTTTTATTTAAAAACCGGGGAGTTTTTTGGAAAAACTCTTAAACACGTATATTTTATTTTGTTGTTTTACATATTTTAAGATTTTTTATAAATGTATACAGAGTGTTTCATAAAATATAACCATTGAGTAATCACGATTCTGCTTAAACTGCTTGACGTTTAAAGCTGATTTTTGGCAAACAGATTGACTGTGGGGTGTAGAGGTTCGATAAGGAGGGGTTTCTCTAATCTCAAATTCCAAGAGGGCGAAAACACCCCTCAAATATTACAATATTTGTAATTTAAAAAACGGTTAGTCTTTCGGGAAAACGCTTGGACAAGCATAATTTATTTGTTTTTTTACATATTTTGAATTTTTTTAAAAAATCATACAGGGTGTTCAAATAAAGTAATGCCAAATTGATTAACCACGATTCTGCTTAAACTGCTTGACGTAAAAAGCTTTTTTTTAGCAAACGGATTTTTCCCAGTCAAATTCCAACGAGATGAAACTACCCCTCAAATATTACCAAGTTATATAATAATATCGCCATATTGTTTTTTCTCATGCTGACATAAATGTGAGAAAATTTTATCCAGTTTGTATGTTAATGGAAATTCTTGCTTTGCTTTATCATCACCATTACAAATGATTAATTCGACGCTGGTACACCCTAGTTATTATAAAAAAGCAATAAAATATGATCAAAAAGAGAGTAATACATTGTTCAAAAATTACCTTATAAAAAAAATTAAACGTATTTTTCACCTCTTCATTGAAAAACACTTTCACTACACTACGTCTTTCATACTACACCGTTTAAACTTTTTCGCTAAATTCCAAAATACACAGTAGCGGTGTAGTGGCAAGGCAAATAAAGATTAAAATTATTACAAAATATCTTTAGCTCTATTTCAACAATTATCGTTAAACAAATATGTAGTTGTATTAATTGAATCTGGAGAAGTGCGAACGCGCATTCTTATTTTAATTTCTTATCTTAAAACACATAATAAATCTAGCTTTTACTCGCTATGACAGAACAAATATGTTATTGTTACAGATCAATACCCCGCATTTTTTAGGTCGGTTTTTTAATTGTAAATAAACAAACATACGTAGTTTTATGTATATATGTTTGTATCAATTAAGAGGAAATATTTGCTAATTTGTACAGCCTTGGAAGTAAACATCAACGGGAAAGTCTTATTGATCTTTATTTTCCCTTCCACAAAGCTAAGAAAAAGACAAACAATACATACAGCTTTACTTGTGTAGAGCATTGACATACTATAATGAACTTGCGAGATAAAATGTTAATTCATATATATTGAAATATTCATTCAACAAGTAACTGACTTATATTAGGAATATGAATTTTTTACTGAATATTTTTTCAAAAAATTTCTTGGTTTATTGAAAAATACTTTTTTATACCAAATTCATTACATAGTGTTAGTGATTTTCTTTACTGAATATTAGTGGTATTCTACCCTTGTAGACTTTTACGTGACTTATTATTTTATTCATGTATGTCAATTTTTGATCTATGCGTTTAATAATAATAATAATAAATAACGCTTCTGTGGTTTTGTATATGCCTTAACCCACTCTCCAATACTTTGAACGAAACAGCATATGGCGTTAACATTAAATACGAAAAATCAGTAGGACATAAAATTAACCATCTCCTATACATGGACGACATAAAACTATATACAGCGACAAAAACAGAACACACCGAGCTACTTAAAATTCTAGAAAATTCCACAAACGACATAAAAATGGAATTTGGGATGAACAAATGTAAAACACTACACATAAACAGAGGTAATTGGCAAAACGAAGAGCAGGCATCTACATTAAACAATGAACACTTAGACAACATGCAACCCAACGAATATTACAAATACTTGGGAATTTTACAAAACAGAAAAGTTGACCATACCGCACTCAAAACCCAACTAAAAGAACAATACAGGAAAAGACTAAGTAAAATACTGAAAACCGAACTAAATTCAAAAAACACAGTTAGAGCGATTAACACCTACGCCATACCGCTGCTCACCTATTCATTTGGAATCATTAAATGGTCCAAAACAGATCTGGAAAATTTAAATATTCTGACAAGAACTCAGCTAACTAGATTCCGACAGCTGCATCCCAACTCTTGCAAGGAGAGGCTGACCATTGAAAGAAAAGAAGGAGGTAGGGGCCTGACAGATATTCACGAAATACACAACAAACAGATTAATTCGAAAAAAAATACTTTAAAGAAAAAAATACCTCATTACACCAAGCAGTAACTATAGCGGATGCTAACTACACACCATTAAATCTTAACGCAGAAAATATTCCTGTTTCAAATATACTCACATTAGAGGAAAAGAAAAACAAATGGTCCCAAAAGCAACTACATGGAAAACACTGTCATATTATGAACAACCCCGACATCGATAAAGAACTGTCATATTCATGGCTACAAAAAGGGCAACTGCAACCGGAAACGGAGGGATTCATTATAGCGATACAAGATCAAGTAATAGCAACGCGCAACTACAGGAAATACATAATAAAAGATAGGGCCCAACAAACGGATACCTGCAGGCGTTGCCACCTCCAAAGTGAAACAATAGAGCATATTACAAATGGTTGTAAAATACTCACTGGTACAGAATACACTCTAAGGCATGACTTTGTTGCGCGTATTATACATCAAGAAATAGCAAAAACATATAAATTTATACAAGAAGAACAGCCCTATTACAAATACACGCCGCAATCTGTCTTTGAAAACGACACTATAAAACTCTACTGGGACAGAACGATCCATACTGACAAGACAGTAACATGCAATAGACCTGATATAACGTTAACACTAAAAAAAGAGAAAGTAACATATCTAATAGAAATCAGTGTTCCGAATGACAACAATATAACAAAGAAATATGAAGAAAAAATTAGCAAATATATTCCACTAACACAGGAAATAGAACGAATATGGCAACAAAAGAAGTTAAAATCCTACCATTTATTATATCTAGCACGGGCCTCACACACAGGAAATTTAAAGAAAACCTCGATATTTTAAATTTAAAAGGTCATATTCACACACTTGCTCAAAAAGCAGTAATCATTAAAACCACAAACATAACCCGCTCCTTCTTAAAACAATAGAAACAAAACAATAGAAACTCTGACAGTACTTGGTAATGAACACCCGTCTGTCAGAATATACCACATACATAGACGTATCAATCCTCACAAGCTGCCTTATGTTGCCAAGATATGACTTAATCCATTCGAGCGGCACTCTCCTGAATCTATAGTATTGCAATTTGTTAATTAAGATATCATGATTTCTAAATAGATGATATGTTTATGCAAATATTATCAAGATTTTAGCTAAAAAGTCTAAATAAGTCGAGAAATAAACCGTCTAAACTATTATACATTATTTAAACATAGTTTTTTTTCGGAACAGTCAAGACGTCATTTTCTACTGTTTTTTACACTATTCATTATTTTTATAATAAATCTTATTACAATGTTATTTGTCTAACTAAATTTATATAACTTATCAAATTCTTTTAGCCAAACAATTAACGTAAACAAAAGTATTAAATATGGAGCATGATAAATTAAATCAAATCTTATTATGTCTTTTGAATAAAATTAGAATTACAAAGTTTAGTTGTCACAAAACAATTTTAATTCTACTGCAAATGGTATTGCGTAAATATGAAGTGATCCTTCTAATACTTTAATCTTATTTTATTAACGAAAACATTAAACGTAAAAAGGGGATTCTAACGACCCACCACGGGGCTCCTTATAGGTGGACATTAAGTAATTAATTTTAAAAAATAATTTCTGTAAAGAATTCTAAATATTTTTATAGCGTTCTAATAATTTTATTAAATAAATAGAATACCTATGCAACATTTATTCTGATGGAAGTAACTTATGTATATAAAAATGTATATTCAACAAAATTTCAGATACTTTTTTCAACTAACAGCGCATGCAACAAACGCTGCTTTGAAAATTGCGATCAAATCGGCTTCAGAATTTTGCGATTTAAACGAACCATATTGCAGCTTATGTTTTGTGGTGGTCTTAAAATAGAAACTTTGAACATAAAAAACTTAAACCTCAGTTGTATTGAACTGAAGTATAATAATCTATGGTCGATGTTGCAAGTTTTTCTCTTTAGATACTATTTTTTATATTGGTGCATTGGGAAAATAAAAAAGTTTATAAAGCAGTAAGAAATTAAAAAGAAAAATTCGAAAAAAATTATTTAATGAATGAAATATAATATAACTTTATTAAATGCTACAATGTTACTGAAACAAAAAAGAAAGAAATCTTAAAGGAATTATAACGACGATATAATAATTTAATAATTATTAATTTAATAAATAAATGAAACAATATACATATATTTTTATATAAATATTCTATTTGTGTTATAATCTAAAAGTAAAGTAAAAATATCAAGAATAAATTATTATAAATTAAATAATAAATAAAAAACAAAATATACTTTTAATTGTCTTAGATAAAAAATTAATATAATACACAATATGGGTAACATTTTGGTATTTCCATTCCATTAAGTTCTATTTTCCATCAATCGTCTTGCCTTGGAAATATACTGGCATGAGATGGAGAATGCCCAATTCCACTTGTTGAATACTCGTGTACATCGGGATGGCTATCAGTATCAGCTAGCCACTGTCGATCATAGTGCCCTAAAATTAGGAAATTATGCAACAAGTGGCAACATTTATACAGAAATGTCATGTTTAGATTAAAATCAAATCATTAAATAAGAAGTCAAGGCAGTGAGAGTACTATTGTTGACAGTACTATTGTTACATTCTTACTTATTCTCAGTTTTGTTTGATGTTTCACTTGGCATATAGAACCCACAAAATATGTAGCTAATCAGGGATAATACAACCTGTCTCGGGGACATTACATGCCAAAAAAAGCGAGAAAATCGACAGAAAGAAATATAAAAAATGAATAAATAAGAAGGAAGGAGAAAAAAAGAGAAAGAGAAAGAGGAACAACAAATAAACAATTAAATAAAAGAAGAAAAAACAAAAAAAGTTCCAGATGAAGCTCAGTAATTTTGTCAACACCTTCGGGTGGCGTTACATTTTAATTTTCTTTGTTTTATGCTTGTATTTTTTTTCCTTTTGTTCTCCTTCTTTCCTTAATTTTTTCTTTTATTTTTTTTGTACTCTTTTATTGTTCCTTTTTTCTATATTTTAGTTCTTAACACTTTTTCTGTATTAAATAATAATGTTTTAAAAGCTTGTAAGTAACGTTTTTATAAATGTCTTATAGAAATGAGAAATTATCATTGATTATCATTCAAACGGTCACTCTGCAGCTGATTTTAATCATGCAGTATTTCAGCTACAGTCGTAAAAAAGTGTCTTTTATAGATTTACGTTACATTACTTTATGTTCATAAAAAACTTGTTATTTTTAGAATGCTTATAGATCTGTGCAAATAGGTACCAAATTAATGCAAGATTGGGACTAATTAAACGTTATTCCACAATTATGAGCAGGAAATTTACCAGTTCGTGGACTTCCAAGAACACAATTATTTCCATTACATTGTCTCCAAAAGGAAATGAAAAGTAAACCGTCCAATTTAAACTAAAAGTAATTTTAAGGAAGTGTAATCTCTGAAAGAATTTTTGTGGACACATTTGGTTTTTTCTATTAGATCGATTTGATATTCATAATTAAAACTTGAATTAATCAAAGCGTATTCATGTGGATTCAATGAAATATAGGTAGAAATATTTATACAATCTACCGTATGATCGAAAAAAAAACGGCGTCAGCGATGGCTATGAAATGAAGTCGCTGTCATTTTATATGTAAATCTATATGGGAAATGTCATCTATCGTCATTTCCCAGCCAACTGGACGCCGTTTTTTTTCGATTATACGGTATTATAGACTGTATCCAATGCTGCTAAATTGTATACATCACAGCGACAGTCTGTCATTTTTATTCACTGGTAAATTTTAAATTTTATTTTCTGTATTTTACAACTTTTTCCCATAAATTAGCTACTACTTATAATATGTTTAAAACTTTTTGTGTTAGAACAAATCGTACATACTTGCAACACTATAATCCCTTAATTATAGTTATTAACTGTATTTCTTTTGGCTTTCAATGCTTTTCAACTGAAACGTTAGAAGATTTATACGGTACTAATCAAATTCAAATATATTCTCATATAAATCTTTCATCAAAATTCAAACTTGAATGGTGCTTACATACATATTTTTAAGCCAGATTTTCATAACGTTATTAAATTTTTGAGGCATAATCTTGGAAGCTCGTTTAAAGTCAACCTCTATCTTCATATTATGAACATGGGCTTCTGATATACAAGGCGAGTCTTAAATAAGTGCAAATACTTTCACGGGTGGTATATTTTGACGCCAGGAACACAGGAAATTTTCAAACTTAACTCGTTATTTTGGACTTATCTGAAAAATGCTAAAGAGAAAATATGTTTCTTTTGTCGAGCTCTGCCAGCCCTGAAAACATTTACACTTATTTAAAACTCACCCTGTATAACGCTGTCTAGATAAAAAAGATTATAAACTGTAGATTATGATTTTAGAGACTATACCGGGTGTCCCAGAAATAAGTGCAAATATTTTAACTGGTAGTATAGTTCAACCCCAGAAACACGCCTATTAGGTTTTTTCCGCGAAAAAAAAAATTTTGAAAATTCGAAATTTTTTGAAAATGTTTTTGGAAATTTTTTTAGTTTTTAGTTAAAAAAAAATAATTTCTTGATAATATGAAAACATAGGTATTAGATTAAATTTACAAGAAAGAAAATCCAGAAAAGATCCAGTGGTTCTCAAAATTTTAGCAAAAAATCATTTTTTTTTGGAAATTTTCAAAGTAAAATAACTCCGTTATTTTGGACTTATTTGAAAAACGCTAAATTAAAAATTATTAAAATATTTGCACTTATTTCTGGGACACCCTGTGTATATGGATAATTAAAACAAATATCCAATTTAACCAAAAAAAAAATAATATCTTTTGTCTGGACATGTTTTTAACGTCATTATTACACCCTTTTGTTTAACCTACAAATTTATTCGCTGACTGATAAAGCTAACAAAGTTACAAAGTCTAAAGTGTCCAGAAAATTATGCAAAAATTTGTTATATCCCAAGGTAAAAGGTTTTTTTTATTTTTCAACACCCAAACTCCAACCCAAATTAAGTTATGTAAAAAGCAATCAAGCTGAAACATAAACGAAATTTTAGATGATTGTAGATATAAAATTTTTAAATACTACGTATATTAAAATATGTCTTTACTTAAAACTATTGATCAATCAGATACGTGGAGTATGTGCTTAAATTTTCTTTACCAAGAAAAGTATTATTATATTATGAGTGAAAGAAAATACCGTATGATCGAAAAAAAATGGCGTCCAGTTGGCTGGGAAATGACGATCGATGACATTTCCCAAAGAAATTTACATTACTGATAAAAAAGATAGACTTGAACTAAAGTTGAAAAAAAATTTTCTTGAAAAAGAGAATTTATTTTAGCGTAAAAGAAAATATTTTGCTCTTAACTCAAGAAAACTGGTTCTCTTGAAAAATTCGAAAATTTCTCTTATATCGATTTTCATTCAACCAAGTGCAAGTTACTTTGTTTTAAGATAATAACAAAAATACGCTAGGAAGTACTTCATTCAAGAAACATGGCCATTTTTCCAATAGCTAAATACTCTTTTGATGAAAAATAATAACGACACGCAAAGACGATGACGAAGGACGGTATATACAATCAGTCGTACGTCGCATTTCATAGGTCGCACATCATAGTACGTACGGGTTTTCTTGCTTGGAATTTTCCACTTGGAATTTTGCATAATTTGCTTTTTAAACGCATATCGTATAACAAATTAGTGATCGTTATTAACATGCATTTGTCATTTTTTATGGACAAATTTTAGGATCCTTTAAAGGAATTTCATAAAAAATGGAAATTAGAGCATTTATTTGCTATATTTGAAGGTAAGAGACATTTACCTAATGCACCTGTTTAGATAATGCATGCGTGACTATAGATAGAATAAGAATATAGGTATATCAATAGATATAGATCTAACACGACTGCACATTGTCATTGGTAGATATGCCAATGCGACAATGATTAGAATGGTCACTAACGGAATTAGTACTGGGAGAATTGTCAGATCAGGGGCTTGGAACACCCTCAAAAAGGAAATACCACTCCTGCAACTCCCAGTGAACGATATGCCAAGAACGTACAACTTTGACAAACATGTCAATGTAGTATTGAGCAATAAGAAGGATTGGAAGAGCGAAACGCTTGCCCAGCAGTTAAAAGACCATACTATAACTTGGTATACTGATGCTTCCAAAACCAATACGGGAACAGGGATCGGAGTGTTTGGGCCGACAGCTAATTACTACGAACCAATGGGCACTTACCCTAGTATCCTACAGGCAGAAATCTACGCTATCGAGAGATGCGTACAACTTATCTTAGATAGGAACTATCGGAAACAAGAAATAGCCATCTTATCTATAGTCAAGCAGCGTTAAAGGCGATCAACTCAGTATCAATCAATTCGAAATTTGTCAAAGAATGCATAGAGAAGCTGAATAAATTAGGCAAAGAAAACAAAGTCCTCCTACACTGGGTGCCTGCTCACCAAGGGATAGAAGGCAATGAAAAGCAAATAATCTAGCTAGGAAAGGAGCGAACACTCCACTAACTGGACCAGAACCGTTCTGCTTTCCAAGTGGTAACCAACTCAAGGCGGAACTCAAGAACTTGGAAGATTCCATCCGCAACCTGGAATGGAAATCTTGCAATGGTTTAAGACACTCGAAGAAGTTTCTGAGGGCTTATGATCAAGAAAAATCACAGATCTTCCTGGGTCTGAGTAAGAACAATCTTCGGATTGTCACGGGGTTTTTAACAGGACACTGTCTCCTCAATGAACACCTCAGTAGATTGAAACTAAGAAGAAACGGCGAATGCAGATTCTGTGGGGAAGATGGTGAAACACCAGTACACCTCATCACTGAGTGCGCCGAGACGACAACCATTCGTACCATGAATTTTGGTACGACTGATATTGGAGATGGAGAACTACCCTCTATAAAACCGTCCCAGATACTGGCTTTTGTCAAAGCCCTGGGACTGTATGATGAGTTATGATTCAAGAAAGGGGGACACAATGGATCTGTAAGGTCGAAGTGATTAACCCCCCTCCCACTCATTCTAAATTCTAAATTCTAGGTATATCAATTTTTTATGCAAATAATTACAAAAATTTTAGAATTTCAAGTCGTATTAAAAAATTGAAAACGTGACCAAATCTTATAATTTGTTTGCTTTACTTTACTTTAATTAATCGTAATGTAACATTTTTTTGTAATTTGTAGAGGGATGAATCACCCCAAAAAATACCAAGGAGTGAAGAAGCAGAAATAACTACGATCGAGGAAAACAATATCACTTTACTTACTACAGACCAGGAAAACCTAAATTTATCAGAAAATAATATATCTCGTAATATGCCTGTATATTATGTTGTATAGACTTCTCTTAGATCAAAATAAATTTTAGTTGAGTCAATGGTATTCGCTATTGGTTTAAGAAAAGTGTCTCTTTAATCAAGAAATGTCCCTTTTCAATCAAGAATTTTTGCATCAATCAAAGAGACTATTGTTCTTGTAGCAAGAACTTCTTTGCATATTAATTTTGGGTCAAGAGTGAAATACTTTGGACAGATAGATTCTTCTATTCTCTAAAGTAATTTTTTAAAGCTTATCAAAAGATAGTTAATGCTCTGGGCAAAGAAACGTCGTTCTTGGCCCTTTCAGCGCCAATCTTTTGGGTCAAAGTCATATTCATTTCAACTGAAAGATCCTTTTTTTCAGTGGCATATAAAATGACAGCGATCTTCATTTCATAGCCATCGTTGACGCCGTTTTTTCTCGATCATACGGTACAAATATAATGCTACAAAGTGTTTCTATAAAAATTATTGTGCTATCATTATTTTATATTACTCCACCTGATACAACAGTAGGATCAGTGTCAATATCAACAGAAAAAAGTATATCATCGTCGTCGTCATCAGTGGTTTCATCGTAATCTACACCTTCACCTGTTAATCCAAAATACCCATATGGTGAATAAGAACTATCGTGTTGTGAGTGCGGGGTTTCCAGTGAATAATGGTCATAATCAGACAAACTTTTGCAGTCGTAATAACTCTTACAAGGTGCGCCGTGATGTCCTGCATGATATAATCCGTAATTCATATGGCTGGTGGCAATCTTCTTTAGACCGTTAATTGATGAGAGTAGTAGGGCTAACTTGGCCAATAGTAAGGCTTTCCCTCCGAGGACTGCCAGAAATTGAAAGCCTAGAGGAATTACTATGAAGCCCGCAGCTACTAGGCCAAACATCATCAGTTGGCTCATCATGTTGTCCTTGCGTCTGTGTCTTCCTAAATTGAAAATACCGAATGATAGAAATAAATACATATAATTAAAGAAATCATGATGTTCTATTTTAATTTCAATTATGATTTTCTTTGGTTTCATCATAAAAATTAAAACTTAAATAGTTTAAATATGTAATCCATCCCAGTAGATGCTGTATTTTTTGTTATATTTTGTCTGCTTGTGAAAATTTCACACCTGTAATTTTTAACCAATCAAAACGTGTTTTTTTGACAAATCACCATGGCAACGGATAAATTTTAGTGAATTTTTTTTCCTTGTGGGTACCCAATAATTATACTGGAAATTTTTTGACATTTATAATGACAGAATATCTTTTTGAGAGTCTGGTTTTTATTTGTTTACATGATAATTTTGATACATTTCAATTACAAAGCTGAGGTGAAAGTTTGTAAACTGCTTCCATATGCTTGACTTCGATTTCCTAGTATTCGCGGGTGTCAAATGCTTAATCTCCTGGCGAGTATTTTCTTTGCTTTCATGACCGAAGCGAAACATTTTTTTAAGCCGTGCCGCTTGACAGCTTCAAAACTGAAATAATTTTTAGGTTTGGGGTGGGTTTGGGTGTCACTTAGTTATCATAGTAACTAAATAATCAATTCCACCAAAAATCGAAAAATACCATAGATAAAAGAAAATAATCTACTATTAAGATAGATATGAAACTTAATAGTAAAATTTTGGGTCAAAGCGCCCCTCCGTGTTTATAGTGGAGACTACGTTTAACCCAGCGCTTTCGCCTTTTCTGCTGTAAATGTTTTTTATGTTTATATTTGAACTCAAAGGATTTATTTTTAAAGTTACACTGATATATTAGTATATCAGAGTAACTTTAATAAAACATAAGAATATATATATTTTACAATTTATTTTTTTATTTATTTTACAGAGTTTCATGTAAATGATCGTAAGTCGACTGGCTGTCTAATGAATAGACCGAGATTTATAGATTTTAAAGCGAACGAAAAAAAATCAAACAACGAATACATACCATATATTTTTCTTTTATCTAAGATACATACCTTATCGTCTTTTGGAAACACGTACATTTTTGCAGTTTTGTTAGTTTCTCTGCAAGATGCAACACAACAAGAAAACACCATTTTTACAGTTAATAAATAATAAAACTATTTCTGACTATGATATTTAAAATTTAGATAGATAGAAAATTAAAAAACAAACGAGTATTTGCAAACGCAGGCCCAAATTCAATAAAAATCAAAATTTTTCCTGCGAAAATCAGGCTTTTTTCACTGAAAAGGAATTTTTTTAATTTATCAGCAGTCAAGTTGACAATATACAGGGTGTTTTCGAATTAGTCTAAAAAAATTATGGTGTGATTCCTCATGTGTTCTTAAAACAATTTTTATATAACCATTAGGTCTAAAGTACTTCCTTTCTGATCTACAGGGTGTTAAAAATTAAAAAAAAATCGATTTTTTTGCTTAACATAAATGGTACACCACTGCTTTTTTAAAGAAAATATATTTTTTTCTTGACTGGCCATCCTTTTTCAACAAAATTGATTTTTTGAGTTTTTCTTGTTCATCAAACGGTTGTCGAGAAAAAAATAAATATACTTATTAAGAGCCCGCCTTAATTCGTTTTCTAACGATTTTTTATTTTTTAGATTAATTAGGAAACACCCTGTATATGCCTATCACAGGCAACCAAATAAACTAGTAACCTCTAAAAATTATTTTTCCTACCACTAGCGACATGCCGTGTTTTTAGTTTGTATTAAATTATTTTATCAAAATTTCACCATATAAGTTTCCAGGCAATAAAAAATACGTTTTAATTATTTGATTTTCAAACACAATTTGGTGTGGAATTTTCTTACCGAATACCACGAGGTCAAATTAAATCCGGACATTTTTTCTCGCTCATGAATATTATTAGAAAATTAATCTAAATTTTCATGAGCTCGAAAAAATTTCCGGAAATAATTTGACCTCTAGTGGTATTACTAGTGACATTTTTTTTAAACAAATCTTCAACAATGTTTAAACTTAACAAAAGCAGTCTCTAGTGAATCTATATTTACAAAGAATAAAGTTATGTTATTTCAAACAGTTGACAATGGTGTATTTTGAAATAAAATATCCCTTGCATGTAGTTGCAGCCATTGCATTTAAACTAGAATTTTTTACACACAACGAATTAAAGCCAATATTTGGACAGTTCAAAATTTGTATGGGATTTCCATATACCGTGTGGTGCATCGGAACACGGGACATAGGAAATCCCATGTTAATTTTGAAAAGGTCAAATAATATCTCCCCAGATAATTTTATACAAAAGTTGTATTAGACTTTTTTGAAAAGGCGTTAAAGTTGTACTTTTGCGGAGAATTTCGTTTCGTTTGGAACCTAACCTAACCTTGAAATTAGTAAAATTTATAATTTTTTTGTCAAGTTCGATGTCACATTTTGTTTAGAAAAATTTGAAGGTACCAAACAGAGTAATTTTGTACAAAATAATTATGAATTATGCAACTGAAAAAGTTACGATAGTTAAACATTTCGCTGGAAATAGTATTCCCGCTGTCTTTGATGTTTGCAGCTCAGTCTCTAGAAAGCCTATACCGAATAAATCAACAGTTTAAAGAATATACCAAAGGTTTGAAACTAAAGGCACCAAGGTATTAAGCACATGGAAGTGTGAAGATAAAAATAATTGAACAGGAAGAAAACAACAATAACTTGAATATTCTTCATGTCGAAGAAAAGAAAAACATTTACTCCCGTTTATTGGGGATACAGTAGAAAAAGAACACAGGATCTTTCGCCGAACGATTTTTCCTGTGGAGCATACTCAAAAACCGTCTTTATGGGCATATTAAACACAAAAATTTAGATGGACTGAAAACGTCACCTTTGTGGAATGATAAGAGTCTCCCCCTCCCTTAACAGTTTTGTATTGTGAGGCTTGAATTTCACAATCATTTGGAGTATTGTTTGGCTGTGAATGGGGAATCATGCATGTAATCCTTTTATTATCTACATATACAGGGTGAGTTTCCTACGATATTCTCTATGGGTATCTCGGAAACTACTGGAGATAGAGAGTCGATTAAATGGGGAAAGAATTCAAGCCTTTCAGATTTTTGAAAAAGTTCATAGCTTACTAGATATTTCGAAAAAAACAAATTTCGGCTATTTTAAAAATTGTCCCTAACTCCATTATAAGCTATTTTAGACAAAAAGTTTTCAGATAAAAGTTGTAGATAATAATTTCCTTTATGAGAATGTGCTCCGTTTTCTTCTAAAGCCTGTCATTTTTGACATATGACACAAATATATGTTTTTTTTAAATGGAAACCATTGTTGGCCATGACTTCATAAAAAGCGCCATTTTTAAGCTTTTCGGCGATATAAGCTATAATATGTTTTCTTCGAAAAATTACTGAGTTATAGACAATTCTTATCATTTTTAAACAATTTAACTTAGTTAGCCATGGAAACAAGTTTAATCGCCTTTGCTCTCAGAAATGTGAGTCACTGTCACAGCTCTCAGAAATGTCACATCCAAACTTCGTAAATTAAAATTACCAAAAATTGTAAATATGAATTTTTCAAATGAAGAAAAGCGTGTAGGATTATTGGTTCAACTTTTCCTGACCATACATTTTCGAGGATACGTTGACCGGTGAATGTTACGTTTTTTAGAGAACGGTTTTCAAGACATGTTAGGAAAGTTAAATTTAGTTATAGCCAATTCTTATCTTTTTTCGACTAATTTAAATTAGATTGCATGGTATTCTTATTCTGTTATGATTTATAACTTATAAAAAGTCACAATATATTACTAAACGGTTCCTTACAAGTTACATTGAACAAACTAAAACTTTAAAAAATAATATCACTGCATACACTTTAAGTTATTTTAGAAAATGTTCCGCCATTGTTTTGAGTTGTATCTTTTTAAAACTGAATTACTACCTATTCTCATAAAAGGACCGGTCGACTTAATTAAACTTCTCTAGTACCGCCACTCGAGAGCAACGACGATTGAACTTGTTTCCATGGCTAACTAAGTGAAATTGTTTAAAAATTATAAGAATTGGCTATAACTCAGTAATTTTTCGAAGAAAACATATTGTAGCTTATATCGCTGAAAAGGTTAAAAAATGGCGCTTTTTATGAAGTCATGGTCAACTATGGTTTCCATTTAAAAAAAACATATGTTTGTGTCATATGTCAAAAATGACAGGCTATAGAAGAAAACGGAGGACACAGTCTCATAAAGAATGTGATTATCTACAACTTTTATCTGAAAACTTTTTGTCTAAAATAGCTTATAATGCAATTAGGGACAATTTTTAAAATAGCCGAAATTTGTTTTTTTCGAAATATCTAGTAAGCCATGAACTTTTTCAAAAATCTGAAAGGCGCATATTTATGACTCCACAAAACTGCAATTCTTTCCCCATTTAACCGACTCTCTATCTCCAGTAGTTTCCGAGATACCCACAGAGAACATCGTAGGAAACTCACCCTGTATAAAATGCTAATGTTTATCTGTGTCGTCTCTCCTGAAGTAGCGAATTGCTCTAGAAAGTGGCTTTTTTACTAAAACATAGCTAATTGGCTCTTCTAAAAACTGTCATCGTCGGATTTTTTGTAATTCATTTAATAAAAAAAAGTATTTTTTCCTGATGTCGTGTCGTGGCAGATGCGCCAGGCTTCAACTAATTTAGTATAGTTTAATAAAGTTCCTTCTGTTACAAATATTTCGATTATCCCTTGAATTATTCTGGACGTATGTGGTAAGTGGTATGAGTGTGACCTGTGAGTGATCGAGTAATGTACAGCAAACTAGTCATACACCACAAATACTATTTTCAGTTCAACTAATTCTTTTGTAGATAATCATTCCAATTCAGGAAAAAATTAAGCACCTTTTTCAAACCACATAAATTCTTGTAAAGAAAAAAAAATGTGACATCTAATTTGACATTGACAAAATCATATTTTCGCTGGTATATTAATTGTAGCTTTGTTTGGGCCGTAGTATAAATTTTTAGTAATCTGAAGGTAGATTTTTGCAAATAACTTTTAGATGCGTATTCCAAATATTACGAAATTCTAGACCAGAGTACAACTTTAACGCCTTTTCAAAAAATTCTAATACATCTGGGGAGATAATATTTGACCCTTTCAAAATTTACATGGGATTTCCTATGTCCCATGCACCCCATTGTATAAAAAAATATATCTGTGTGGAGGAATTTGAATAAAGTATTTGTTTTTTATTATTTCAAATATATTTCTATCAAACTCACCTTCCCATTCACTGGCAATGTTAAAAGCTTTCAATCGAATCTTTAAAACTCTTGATTTTATAAAAAGACCAATCCTCTCTAAGAACGCCGTCTTCCAGTCATCGTTTGAGTGAAACGACCTTAAACTTTTATCATTTATCGAATTACTGTGCCTGAAAAAATAATCTGTTTTAATTGGTTTTATGAAAGCAGCAAAAGCTAAAAACAAACTGAAACAAAATTAATTGAGCCGGTCAATGCGAGCGTAACAAAAAAAGATGAAAAATAATTATGCCTATTTGACTTCAGATCAAAATTTTATGAAATTAATCGGAGGTCGAACCAAAAAATAATGAACAAAAAATAAAGTAGAGGCGGTATTTATTATAAAGTTATTTTTAAGATGCCTCTTAAAAATATAATATTTCATTAAGTTGAAAATACCATACGATTGAAAAAAAAAACGGCGTTAAAGACAGCTGGCAAATGACAATCGATGATCATTTTGGACAGGTCAAACCCTAGACGTCATTTACTAACCCGTTCTCTTCTTTATTTTTTAATGACGCTTACTGCCAGTTGGCATTAAGAAGGTTGTATAGTCTGTCCAACGACAAGATCCCTGACAGTGATAGATGTGTCTGTCATTTTAATTTCAAAGTAGTTTATTTTATTTTACAAAGAAATAAGTTGGTACAACTGGAACGCATAGCAGGAAATTAATATATTTAAAATGTGACTAATAAGTGATTACTTCAAAATATTGTGAAAAAAAAACTGTATAAAACTGAAAAAATGTAATAGAGTTATTTTATTTAAAAAAAACGATATGTGTTAATAAAAAACAAACAAGAACAAAACACCATGCACATACAACAAAATATAAAAAATAACTATTTTTTACTTTCAAGCTTCAAGAAACTTCCCGCATTTATTATTATATTATTTATCAATATAACTTATGTACAAATACAATCGCCAAACTTCAAACACCAAAGGTTCCAACCCTCAACTGTAAACTTCTTCTAAGGTAGTCCATTTCAACAACTTGGATTTTGCGCTTCGCGTCTGCACTCAGAGTCCACAGCTCTGAACCATAGCAAAGAACTGACTCCACCAATGTTCTTCCAAGTCTCTTTTTAGTTGTTGCAGATAAGTTTCGGTCCCACCAGAGGCTGTTAAGACATCCAATAACTTGTTTGCTCTTCTGAATTCGGGTTTGTATTTCTTCTTTGCCCAAACCCTCGTTGTTGATAGTAGCACCCAGGTATTTAAATTTGTCTTGTGAATCTGGACGTTATCATTAATGAAGACTTCAAAACAAGCGTTGGAATTGACAGCTAAGTATTCGGTCTTCTTTAGACTAACCTGAAGTCCCCATTTGTTGTATTCTTGATAAAGCCTCTTAGTCATGAACTCTAGATCGTATGAGTCCTGCGCAATCACGACCTGATCGTCTGCAAAGCTCAGGGTAAATAGTGTGTTGTCCCCAATAGGTATTCCCATACCTTGACATTTTGTCTTCCATTCCCTTAGGGCTACTTCGACGTAAGCGTTGAAGATCAGAGGAGATAAGCTGCATCCTTGTCGCAACCCTTTTGTGGTGTTAATTGGATTAGATAGCCTGTGTCATAACTTAACGTACGATTCATTTTCTTTATATAGCTCTTTTATTATCTTAAGCAAAGGTCTATCTACTTCTAAGATATTCAAGACTTCCCATATCTTGCTGCGGGGAATAGAGTCGTACGCTTGCTCAAAATCAATAAATGCTAGATGGACTTCTTGATCTACTGCTATCTTTTTTTCCATCACCTGCTGCAGGACAAAAAGGTTATCTATGCAAGATTTCCCCGGTGCGAATCCGCTTTGGTCTTCCGAGATTTTGTCACCAATACTGTCCCTGAGCCTACCCTGTAGCACCTTTCCAAAAAGTCTGCTGACCGAACTGTTAATGCTTAGGCCTCTATAACAAGCGGGGTCGTTACGATTTCCCTTTTTAAAGATGGACACTATGTGAGCCACTCGCCATTCTCGGGTAGTTTACTTTGCAGGCAGCACTGGTTAAATAGCTCTGCCAGACGCCAGCGCAGTCTTTGGGGTTCCACACGTTAACAATTCGGCTACAATATTACCAGGACCTGGTGACCGTCCATTTTCATTCTTTTGAGACTTTGATGTACTTCTCTTTCGCTTATCATTAAAGTGCCTGCAAGGTTGTTCTCATCTTCTACTGCTTGGAATTCTGGTCGGTTTTCTGTCAGTAATTCTGCATAGTAGTTGCGCCATTTTTCTATATCCATTCTATTCAAGAGCTTGACCGTTTGATTGGTTTTCATTTGTCGGGTTGTTCTCCATACCTCAGTACTCCGTGCGCCCCCTATTAGGCTTTCCACTTGCTGTCGCCTTCTTTCCCAAATATCTGTTTTTCCTACCTTAATGGCGGCTCGTACCTCTCTATTTTTTTGCTAGTAATGACTCCAGTTAGTATCTGTTCGGTCTGAGAGCCATCTTTGATAGAATTTTTGTTTGTCATTGATTAAGGCCTTTATGCTGTCAGTTATCCAAGCTGGTTCATCTTTTTTTTTCTGCATGTTCTGTTCACCTAAAACTTCGAAAGCTACTTTTTTAATTAGGGTTTTTAGGTTGGTATACTCTAGTTCTACATCGTTACAGGCTTTCACTTCCTCTAGTGCTACATCTAATCTTCTCTGGTACAACCATTTAATACTGGCATCGTGTAGTAAATGAAGCTTGTACTTAATACGCTCAGATTCTTCAATTTCCAGTTCTTGTGATGTTGTGTATTCTATACTTTTGGCTCTGCTCTGGAAAGGTACTACTAATTCTGCAACGACCAGACGGTGGTCGGATCCACAATTTGCTCCTCTCTTAACTCTGCAGTCTTTAAATGTTTAGTACGATCCTTGTAGCATATACGAGATGAACTTATCTACGACGAGATGGTATACAAACTTTATTGATGGTAACTTTATTGGTGTATAAGACTTTCTGCCTGGGCAGCGAGTATTAACTATAAACTGTGCTCTGGGTCTACAGTTAATTTTCCCTCGATTTTTCCTCCACTTGACTTCAAAAGACACAAAACACACGTAATAACACGAATCAAAATGCATCATCTTCCAAATCCAAAAGGCAGATATTTGACATAGGTTGACAATTGATACAAAATTATAACCTATAATTTGGCAATACTTTGACAAGCGTCAAAAATCTAAAGGCGAGTTCATACGCATCGGCGCGGCGTCCGTTTGTCGTTCATCGTTCGATCCGTCCAACCAATAAAATTGAAATATGATCTGTCATTTTTGAAATAAACCAAACAAGAGACGACGCATGACGGATTTATATTTAAACCGATCCATAGTTAACTTAAAAAATAATAGAAACTTTTTTGAGTAAAATAAATAGATTGGTATGGGACGTCATCTGCTTTTCTTCTGTCATCGTCTGTCGAAATCTCACCTGAGAAAAAAAACAGAGTATAATTTATTTTTATATTGAGTAAAAATGATTCTTAAATGGGGTAGTTTAAAATTCTAGAAAAAATATTTTTTTGAAAATAGATTTGTGTGTCTGGAAATATTCTATCCTTTTTCATCGCCGCAAGATAATCATCGATTGGCATTCGCCAGTCGTCTTTGATGCCTTTTTTTCGATCATACGGTATAATAATATACAGAATACAGAAAAATAATATTATGCAGCAGGTTTTATTCAATTTTTTCATTAATTATAATTTTTATATCAAAAATAAAATAAAAACTGCAAATAATTCCATTAACGTAAAAAAAATCAAACAATATATTTATGAAAAATTGCTTATCTAAAATAAACTTAAATCCTCTTTGCTATTATCCCCATTGAGGTACTTATTCTTTTCTTAAAACCATATTCTATTTTCTTGTCTTATAAAAATGGTAAAGATCTCGGAGAGAGGATTAACCAAATTGAAGTTTTATATAACTTTTGTTTTTATTTTTAGTTCTTACTACTGTTTTAATAATTCCTATTATAATATTTTCACAATTGAAATGCTAGCTAAGCTTTTTCATTTTATTCGCTCGACGAAAGTTTCAAATTAGTGGTATTGTTGTGTGGTGTATGTGATAAATAGAGTTATTTTTCAATAGAAAAATGGACGCGTCTTAGACATCACGTCGTATAGGTTATGACGTTATGGTATTTTTGGAATAGAAATTTTATGGGAAGTACTAAAATATATTTGGTTTACCCTGTACATCTCTAAAAATAGTTTTTAAATGTGCGTTGTCACTGCCATTATAGGTATAATATCGTAAAAAATACGGGCAGTGAAAATCTCAAATGGGAGACATGGTATATTTTTTTAAATATTGTGTCACCCTGTATATTTTTTACTGCATGTCTTTTAATATATTACGTTCTTAATGTAAAGCTTCAAAATGTTTCGTACTGTTATCCCAGATCAAGTGCGCTACAAATTAAAGGAACTCTATTATCCTATGTGGTCCATTCATTACAATGAGACAAAGGCAGTGCGTTACCATGACAGTGCCATTTTGTCGAACCGCAAACGGTATATTTGCAATTTCACCAAAACTAAACGTTAGCTGAAACGGAATATCTGAAATTAGCGGAATGGGCACGCAATAGAGGTGCAATTATTGCCGATACCATACGGTCATAAAGTTTTGTATCTTGTTGTTTTGTTAATAAAAATATAATGTAAATTTGTAACCCCCTGTATATTAAATAAAGTTTACACTGAAATAACTAGCTACGTCTTAAGATCAATATTAGAAAAACTATATCGATGAGAGTACCAATAGTGTCTAACACCTACATAATACACCATAGACTTGGTGCATTTCAGTTGAGTTCAACAAATTCCGATCACAGCGCTTCATGGGCAGAAATCAGAAATTATCAGTATGTATATCCAAAAAAATTCTTTATGGGTATTTCAACACTGCACTGCAAGAAAAATCTACAAAATAAAATAGTTATTTTTTGTAAACACTTCTGCGTTAAACCTAAACGGACGCTGCTTGTCAGAAGTTGTGTTTACAGTAATAAAAATTTGCCTAACAAAGAAAAAAATGCTTAACGTTTCGGAAAGTTTTCTCTTTCCGTCGTCTGAAGCAAAAAAGATATAAAGAATCAAGAAAAA